AACTAAAATTTCTTAAAAAAATTTTGCCACTAAATGAAAATTTCCTTAACGTTTTGCCATAGATTCCAAGGCAACCACTGAAACACAGAGTCATGGCAGGAATTTTTTGCATTATTTTCGTTTGCAACAACAAACCGAAATCAGAAAAGCTCGGGAGTTGAAATTTCAGAATAATGCTCTCTGCTCGCGTATAATTGGTCTCACATGCGTCTAGGTCTTACGTAGAAACGTGTAAGCTTCGGTACCAAAATTAATAGCTCGGGAACCACAAAATTTCTACACTTATAAAGCAGTAATGCTGTGACCACTTTAACAGCAAGATTTCCCCGGGTAGAGTTGCACAAGTATCAGCTGGACAATCGATCGCTGGAGAGGTTTGCACAAAATGCATGATTCCATCAGTTACCCTGGTCCACGCCGCCATTTTTTTCGTTCCGTCGAATTTTTGGCTTTCCTCATTACGTATGCCGTTACTAAGCAAAAAATATGCTATGGAACAACGAAAAAACTTTTGCTGAAGCATACTTTAAAGCATCTTCATCATCTTTTAATGGGAAATTTCGACACGAAGTTGCGGATTTGCGCGCTGCATTCGGAAACGATAAATCCATCTCTTGTGCTGCTCTGCCGTAGCATTCCTTCAAAAATTCTTCCACTTTTTTCATCGAAATTTTCACATGTGGTGACCACAAAAGCACACCATGCTCATCATCTAAAACAGATAAATACAGAATTAGAAACTTTCAGACCTCCCAATATGATGTAATTTCGGTCAGAAAAGTCAACGATAATTGACTTTTCTGACCGAAATTACATCATTGCCAGCTACGCTGATCCCACGAAGGTGCATCGGGTAAGTGCTGCATAAGTAACACGGTAAATACCCATGCATGATTATGTATAAAGATCGATTGCTTATGACTTCCTATTGAATGGGAATAGCCTTTTCTCCGCTCGATAGATTGAACTTGAAGTTTACGTTGAACTAATGTCTCCTTCACGAACCAGGAGGCGTTTTATCACAGCATTAATGATAAAAAATGCGGATCAGTAACTGAAGATCCATCTCCATCTTACTGTGACCAGCAATGCAATGAGTGGCTAGCTGATACGAGCGAAGATTTTAAAACGGGAGGGCGATACACTTGTTGGAGCAAATTTTTCAATCTATTATTTTCTGCTCAAAAATGCGCTGCGCGCCTTTTGCCGATCACTACCCCAGTGCTCGGTTCAACTGGCTAAGTAGAAGACTAATAAAAGCGGCAACTACGCTTAATTCACAGTAAATTCTAACTGGCAATTCAGAATAAAATACTGTTTCGTTGCAGAAGCACACTCTGGTTGTGCTCGTAATGAAAGTACAGCTAAGGGATGAAACACAGACAGACTGCATCGTAAAACGCCTTCTTTCACATGACACTTAAGTTCAATCCCTCTACTCTACTATTTCAAAGTAAGAAAAAGTGAAGATATCAGGACTGTCTGATGCTGTTACCACAGCGCAACTACACACGACACTTTACCAGGTTCTTCAATCCAGTGAGCTGCATATCCCTAACTTATACTCATCGTCTCTACTAAGGTACATAAGTTATTCGGACGAAGACCGTCTTACAGCGCGATATAACGAAAATAGGATGGTGTGCAGTGCGAACTGTTCTGGGATGAGGATGATGAGTGACGGCCATTCGAAGGCCGAATCATAAGTGGATGGTCCAAGTAGTGCGGCCGGAGTGGGTTAAAATGATAAATAACTCGCGGCCCTCGGCAGACCGAACCGTAATTTCTGAAGTAAATGGCTAGTCCGAATCGTTGAAATTATGGAACAGCCATAATTCATAAATCTTAATGTGGGGTGGAATGAACTGCCAGGAAGATTCGACGTCACTGAACAGCACTCTGACGACGGGCGCAATTGTGTGTCAAATTTATCGGTCCTGGGCCGCATTTCTCTAACAAATACTCACGATTTTTTTCAGCAAGTACAAACGATCTGTTCAGTATAAATATCCCCCTCCCCAGATCTCTACGGGAAATTGAAAAAAGCAGAAAATGTCAAAAAGAGTTCAAAAATTGCACTAACATGGACTTCTGGGTGGTGACATTGAATCAGGAACAGAGGCCTGATAGATGGGTCCCTGACGGACATTCCGTCGCCATGGATCTGGTGGTACGTAATCAGCATCCTCGTCATTATCATCAACATCCGAAAAGTAGCCATGCGCGTTCGGTTTTTCTTTATGAGATGCAGCACTGGATGGGCCGGCCACATCTGTAGTGACGGAGAATTCTGAGCACCAAATTTCTGCATACTACCAAGAACCAAGACAGCCCCGACAATCACGCAAGTGAATGCAATCACACCCTCCCGTCCCCACCTCCCGTTCCCCTCCCATTCCTTTGCTGCATACCGCCAGTTAGTACCTCATTGCCGCTTCGATGTCGTCTGTTCACTGCCTGTTTGAAGACCAACGAACGGTCGTTTAATTCCTCATGGGTATCAAACACTTACAAAAACAGCTCAGGAATGAAACACAGACAGGCCACCAATTTACTGTATATACAGGCTTGCTTATTTGGGAGATCTGAATGGCACTTCCAGTGCTTTCATTAATTATCAGAATTCGATTATGTCCCTCTGCATGGTGGGCCAGCAACGCCAAACAAACTGCATATGTTGCAGGCCTCCGTCTTCTTCCAGTCTCCTAGCCAATGATATTACTCATTGTTTGTATGTTTAAAATTTCTACAAACACTAATACGCAACGTCCAGTGATTGTCATCCATCAAAGCGAGCAAAATGACTTGGACTGCTAAGTCTTCGCAATTTGATATCCTTGCACAATTTTTCATGCACAGTTTAAAAATTTAAACCGTATTTTTGAACACCAGTTAAGCGAGGGGGAAAAGCTGTTACCTGCTTCACTTGTGTCCGGACTTGTAACTGCACTTTGATCACTTCCGTTTGATTTTGGAATATCTTCGGAAGCTGCTCCCGATGTCGATTCCATATCAGCATACTCCTCTTCCTCCTCCGCTGCACTGCAATATTTTCGTTTCAGCTCCTCAATGGATAAATTCGCATCATCCTCAAGCATTTTCAGCTCATCCTGATACGATTCCTCCGGGTTCAGCATTTCTTCTTCATCCAACGTTCCTGAAAATTTGTTGAAGATTCCACAGAACGCGAAAAATTAACCACATCATTTACTAACATTAATTCAAAAGCTTCCCCCCCCCCCCTCTCCAAAAAAAAAACCGCACTGAACCACCGCGACCTCTGGGCATTAGTTATTACCACATATTTTGAATACACGACCGGAGCAATTCCTGATTCAGTAACTGGCCAAATTAATCCTGAGGAAACCGACAACCAAAGATGGTAAGCCGGTTGCGGCGATCAGATTGATTCAGGAAGCTTAAACTGCGAAGGCGCAATAGATTTACAGGATGAAAGAACAGTATAGAAAAAGGACGTAAAAACGAGATAAGACCTTTCCACCTACTAAGTCATATACAACTTAACTCAACACCGCGACAGGACTTCGTCAGTGTACGGTTGTAGTGCTTAATGGAAAAAGAAAAGAGAAAGCCGACAGGAAGAAACATGTTGCAAAACGAAGAAGGAGCAAGTAACAAAGAAGTGAAGTTGGAACCTCAATCCTCTTCGCCTTGTCCAGTTGCCCTTCGGTTTCCAATAGGCAAATGCCCCGTCTCTTTGCTCGAGTTTTCCCCTCCGTGATATTTAATGTGATAATTGAAAATGAAATGGGGAGTGTAATTGTTTTGTTCCGCCTAATTAGGAAGCGCGGGGCCGCAGCTTGGAGCTGCTGCCGCTTGTAATCTTTACGCGTGGCCGGTGGCAGCTTGGAGTTGCTGCCCGGCAATTTTTGGGGTTTGTTTCTTTTTTTGGATTTCTATAATATTGTTCTAATAAATAAGTTCCACTGGTGTTGTACTTCCCCGCCAGGCAGGCCTCTCCCAGCCCCAGCTTCCTCTCCGCGCCCGAACGTTAGAAACGACATGGTTGCGGGATGAGGAGGAGTAAGGACAGGGTGAAAAGGGAAAGGAAAACGGAGGAAGGTTAGGCGTGTTGAGAAATGGGAAAATCCTGTGAATAAGAATGGATAGGTTAGTGCGGAACATTGCTAGCCCTGAGAATGAAAGAATTAAGCCAGAAAGAAAAGCGTAGTTGACCTTGTCATTGGATGAAACAAATTATGAACAAGGCTATTAATACTAACAGATGAAGACGAAATCTGAAGAAAGTACACCGTTTTAAAACCTTAAATTTAAGATATCAAGGATCAAGGGGATAAACAAGGCATTTTTCTTGAAAAACAGCAATTATAGCCTACATATATCACTTTTCCACTGATCACTCTTCCACTCATGAAAGCAGTTAATCGCAGCTAGACCGCAGAAAGCCCGAAACCTTTCTCAAATACTCAAGTTGAATTTTTTGGACGTAAAATCCACTGAAGTTTCGAATGCTCCGTCCTTTGATAACACCGAAACTGCCAAATATCCCTCACTCAATTGTATAGCATGGGTTTAGAACAGCAAAACCAACCAAAATTTCGTTGTTTTCTAACAAGAAACTGAAGCAGAAATGAACAAGCTTCCAGAGTTCCCGAGACAACAACTTCACCCGCCAAAACCCGTAGGCAGGGGAAGGCTGAAATTAAATTTTCGGGGTCAAACATGGGCAAGGAACATTTCCCCCAAAATTGCAACTTCCTAGCTTTTGTGGTCCCCGAGTTGAAAATTGCGAACAAGAGCACACCTGAGGTCAGATAGCACCCAAAATCGGACCTAAGCTGAGGTCACATTTTGTTTTGATACTAATCTATTACAGCGGATGTTAGCTAATCCAGAAAAGGAGTGAAGCCTATCAAAGATCGAATGGCCAACGATGTTCTTAGCCGATTTTAGCAACTAGACTGACCCTGAAAGCCTACATGGCGAAGGCGCAATAAAGAAAAGCATGGTGGAGCAGTATGTGAAAAGAGGGTAAGAATGAGATAAGACGTTTCGGTCCATTATGCAGGAAAAAGCAAACATTCAGCGACATCTACTGCTAAGAATGAAACATTACTACTGATGAAGCAGCACGATCACCTTCGTCATCATATGCATCTTCGCCCTCTTCGTAATCCTCGTCCGCTTTCGATTCCACGCGATCCTCATCCATCACCACCAGCCTGACACTCAAACGCTTAGCAATTCCAAGAATTATCGCCGCGCTGCAAAACGCACACCAAAAATTAGAATTCATTTCAAAAACCACATCTTTCGAATGTTCCAATCTCTTGGAAATACGACTGGGGAGGAGGAGGAGGAGGAGAGCGGGAGAGGCGGGGGAGGGGGAAGGAAGAGTAGTAAGTGCTATTCTTTGACCGGCAGGGGAATTCGAGAATTCCATTTCGGAACTCGGGCAACCATACCCACACGATCGATTAATTTGCTTACATTGGTACCAGCCATGGACAGATTCAAGAGGACTTCTTGGCAGGAGGGTGGGAGGGGAGGGAAGACGGAGGGAAGGTGAGGGGGC